ACTCCGATGCAATTCCCTCTTTTGACTTATACCGAGATGTCACCGTGATTATGTTTCCTATTTGAACAGTTTGCTTGTTGTTCAAACCGAAGTGGAGGGGTGACATCAACTTTTCTCAAGCACTCTGTGTCGTGACTGTTTATTAGCGATTCATTCATTAGATTGCAGAGGAATCACTTGACTCACTCACTTCAAGGGAATCCCGATAGTGTGAATGTTGTACTTGTCAAGAGATACAAGATGAATATGATTAGCTTATGTCAGTAGTTTGCAACTATCCATATCAGTGCTATATAATGCTTAAGTCAATGGATGAAAGTGGTAACCACAACTGGGTTTCGCAAATTCGCTCTTTATTGTTTGGTTGTGGTTTCTCATTCGTATATTTTTGTCAAGATGTTGGGAATGAAAGACTCTTTATACATAATCTACAACAACGTTTATTTGATATGTGTGCACAGGATTGGCATAATAATATTTCTTCATCCAAATATCTGTCATCTTATGCAAGTGCTAAATCTGCGTTACAACCTGAGAACTACCTGTTAAACATAAGTGATAAATCTTTAAGAAGAAGTTTTTTTATATTCAGAATTTCATTACATGTTTTAAAGATTAACGGATATCGTAGATTAAATTCATGTGACGGCAATATTGTGGATATAGTATATACAAATTGTGAATTACTTGAAATTGAAGATGAGCACCATGTATTCTTTGTTTGCCCAAAATATACTCATATTCTTGAGAAATTTCTACCATGGCTATATAATGTACAACCTAGTAAGCAAATTTTGTTATGAATTTTGAACTCAACAAATATAAACACCATTGTATCTGTTATGAAATACACAATGTCATTTAGAAAGTGGTCAAATGTAACATATGTTATATTTGGGATTACACGTTCTTAGTAAAGTACAGATTCTAGTACTTTTGTTGGGTTGAGTCCCATACTCTGAGGGTGTGGGTTCGAATCCCGGATGGGACTCAACCCAACAAAACTACTAGAATCTGTGCTTTACTAAGAAAGTGTAATCCCAAATATAACATATGTTAAATTGAATCTGTTTCCTTGTACTTGAAACATGTTTTCCTCATACATAATTCCTGTAAATCACGTGACTAAGTGATTAAAAATGTTATTGTAGTTGCACAATAGGTCATTTGGCTCATAATACCGACAAAGGGAATCTTGAATCTTGAACTATTATAAAATTAACCAGATTGCGAAAGAAATTATTCGCAAGCTAAAAGTTCATATTGATGAATCTTGATGATAATTATTGTTAGAGATTATGAACATAATCATCGACGGCAACATAAGTGGGCTTCGCACAAACATATTGCCAGAACGTTCGGCTGTATACACTGAGAGGGAACTTGGTTACAATGAGAGTGGCGACTTTGTGATTTTTGCGACAGAAACTTTATGATTTCTGACAGTCTTTGTGATTTGTCACAGTCTTTGCAATGATATGTGTTATAATAAGATAAAATGGCAATAGCATAGATATCATTTTATATCATAATTTGCAATGAAAGTCATTTTGATGATAAATATGAGTAAAACATCAAGATTAACAACCTTCGAAGAACTAAATATTCACAATGAATTATGTCAAGTTTCCCACATGAAATTGTGTCATATATATCAATATTTCAACAGCAATTTCACTAAAATAATATTTGAGAAATGTCACAGAGTCTTTACCATTGGTACCGCAGAATTAGAGATTGGAAGATGATGGTAACGGAAAAATTCCTATTATATTGTGTTCATTCAGGATAAGGCAATAAGTTGTTCTGTTGTATAGAACATTACCTTGGCCAATAAATGGTGTGCATCATGTAATTTCAAGTCGCCCAAATGAACAAGTCATAAGATAACATGATTACTCTATTATCCCAATAGAATTTTGGTGTGCATCATGTACGGTTCTCCAGTTTTTACATTCTTAAAGCATGTCTATGTAACATTTTGTAGTCAGTACGTGCGAGTGATTGCAAGTCCCAATAATGGTACCATTACCTCTCGAAATGGAACACGTACAAATAGATAGTCAAAAGACCCATTCACAATGATTAACTCACACAGTCTGTACAAAAGAATTATTTTCAGAAGAAAACAATTTAGTCAATGTTCATGATGATTCTGATGATTGTGATCTACAACTTGTTGTAGATAATGATGACTATCTGTCAATCATAAATAGACTTCAAAATGTAAAGTGTTGTCTCATGTAACACACTGAATAAACAATACAGGCTTGAGGAATAGACTGTAGCTTTACATCCCTGTTCAAGTGGCGATTCATGGCTATTTTAATTCCATGAGTGCATTCATTAGATTGGATTTTACTGAACTATATGTCTCCGGAGGGGCGGTGGGGTAGTCTCGTGGTTAAAGCGTTGGCTCGTCACGCCGAAGACCCCGGGTTCGAATCCCCACATGGTTACAATGTGTGAAGCCCATTTCTGGTGTTCCCCCGCCGTGGTGTAGCTGGAATATTGCTAAAAGCGGCGTAAAACCAAAACTCAGTCAGTCAGTGTCTCCGGAATATTAAAGTAAATCGAAGCATAGAGAAAACTATGCCAAAAAGGAAGGAATGACAGGTCCGCCTTACAGCAATATTTATGCAAGTAGATTTTCAACCAAAGTGAACCGATTCTGCACAGTTCTATTACAAGCAATTCACGTAAAGTCCATACGCTTCCTGGTGGAATTAAAAGCATGGGACAAATATCACCACATTATACGTGACCACTTATGATGTCCTAGTCAACATTGTCTTGACATGGAACAGTTGGGAGACGAAATATAAAAAAATGTAAATTGAATTAAATCACCTCGAATTATAGATTCAAACATTCAGATGAACTTTAGACACCACCCCTCTACCCCTAGCCCCCTGCTGTTACAAGCCACTAATTAGTACCTCTAGCCCCTCGCCTGGTTGTTCTGTTAGCTGTACTCACTCCCCTGTAACTGGATTTACTGCTACTATTAATTAACTCGTTAGGTCAGGTGTTGGTTGTGAGTAGGTGACTACCGGTACTTGGTATAGATGATAGAGAATCACGGCTCAGTGATCATTATCTATCAGTAGATGATCACTGTTGCTAATAATTCACGCCGAAGGCCCGGGTTCGAATCCCCACTGGGTACAATGCGTGAAGCCCATTTCTGTTGTCCCCCACCGTGATATTGCTGGAATATTCCTGAAAGCGGTGTACAACTATACCCACTCACTCAAACGTAATTCCCTTGTGAGATTTGGTCCTCAGTAAGCCATGCTTGTCGTAAGACGTGACTAACGGGATCGGGTGGTCAGCCTAATGAGCTTAGTAGCAGTTAATCCAGTTTCAGGGGAGTGAGTACAGCTAACAGAACAGCCATGGGCTAGGGGCTAGGAATACTAATTAGTGGCTTGTAACAACAGGGGGCTAGGGGGACGAGGAATGATGCCCCACAAACACAGGCCCTCGTGTCTTTGCGAGGATTAAAGATTTAAAAATATTGTTTTTGAGATGACCCCCGACTCAAAATACTTCACAGTTCAATATATCATGACAAGACCGGACACTTCGGTGCACCCCACCCGCCTGCTTTGCCGATCGCTACGCTACCATCGCATGCAATCGATTAAAACTTAATGTAAACATAATCATGAATGATTACAAAAGTAGTTGTTGGTGCAGTCAACCATACCATATGTTGTTTTAACCCGTATGACTAGTGGGACGTCTGACCAATGGGAGGACGCCTCTCTCACTGTAACCAAGTTCCCTTCCAGTGGTACAAGAAGATCATGAGATAAACGAGACGCGTCAAGCGGACTGGCCAGACATCTGACAGACCCAGAAATGGAAAACAGAGACTGACCACCACCACCACAACGCAAGATGACCACCACCTGTGCATATAATTTTATGCCGTTTTTACACAAAACAAAATATCGGAATTGTCTACTGAATGTTTCGTCTTTTTGACACCATCAGATATGCAATTTAATATTCTTCAACCCTCCATAGTGTATCCGTAGAAGTTACTGATATTTTCAATTGTTTTAAGAATATCTTGAATTAAATTAGAGAAGTCTTGAATTAAATTGGATATGTCTTGAAATTAATTAAACATATCTCGAATAGAAAGATTAATAATTACATACATCGGCAATAAAATTTTAATGAAGTGTTTTCGATATCTTTGACACATTTTCAGATATTACGAGATATTTTCTTGATATTAGTAACATTTCAAGACCTCAGTAATTCTACTTTGAATATTAGAACTTGATTTAAGATATCTTCAATTGTATACTGAAATCTTAGAAAACATTATTGATATCTTCAAATGTTGTTCATATGTCTTTTAAAAATGATTATCAGTAATTTGGTATTTAATGTGAATATCCATATCAGAGCAACTTTTCAGAACTTTCAAAACTGGGCTTCAGGCAAATGACACAGCGTTTATAAACTTCTCATAGATACCTTTTATTAATCTGTAGAAAATAAATGGATTTAGGTTTTATTTTCAGAATAATCTTTGTCAAAATATACCCAGACACCAAAATTGCGTCTTTTCAATGTCTGCAACACACGATTCAGACTTGAAGATGTGAATTATCTCCCCTGGTAAGGCAAGGCACTCAAGCGCGGCTCGATTACTTCACTACATCCTTCCAGAGCCCTAAGGTTAATATGTAAAAACCCGTTTGGATGTCTGCCTATCGTGTCATGGCTGGGTTATAGTTACAAGTGGCGTTACACTCTACTTACTCCCTCCATTGCGAAATTGGTAGTACTGGATAATACAATACATTTGAGATTTGTGTTAGCGATTGAAAAGCTTAGAGGTGTCTTCGTTGAGGGTGGAAGATGGAAGATGGAAGATGTGGGGTTATCTCTTGGAAGCTGCAAATGATATGTGTACAGTTCTTGGTAAATCTTAACGTAACTTGGAGAGGTAGTTAAGATACTAAATTTAAACGTACCTTTTAAAGTGTTGTTGATTAGCTGGAGGAGAGAATGTCGCTGGAGATGCTAACAGAGTTCACCCAGACCCGAAGTGTGCTACATCAGGATGTGACTTCAGATTCCCGCATGGATGAACACCCTCCTCGTCTCCAAACATCCGGGTGGGAAGAATGTAGGTGAATTCGCTAGCTTTCCAGGGACCATCCCATCATCGCCACAATCCATATTTCACACCTTCTGAGTTCCTTGATCATTTCAAAATCCGATATGCTTTGTGATTGCTTTGTTGAAACGTGCGGTGAATTTATATGTCTCACTGTCGATTGGATGAAAATACAGTGAGTGAGTTTAGTTTTACGCCGCTTTTAGAAATATTCCAGCAATATCACGGCGGGGAACACCAGAAATTGGCTTCACACATTTTACCATGTGGGGAATCGAACCTGGATCTTCGGCGTGACGAGCGAACGCTTTAACCACAAGGCTACCCCACCGCCCCCCGGATGAAAATACAGTTCACCTGACGCAACCTCCTGTGGAAATATCGTCAGACATTTGAAGGAGGTAAAGTACAATTGTATTTTGGTTGGGTTTTTGAAGGGAAGAAAGCGCCAAGTGCGTTTTTCAAACGGGGATTTTGTGTCTACAATGGCCGATGACTTTGGCTGACTGACTGACTGAGTTTAGTTTAACGCCGCTTTTAGCAATATCCGATGACTTTGGGCTGGGACATGACTGGTGGTCATTCAATTCCAATAGTGCACATTGGAGTTCAGAGAAGGAATAGGTTCACAGGTTTACAGAAGATCCGATGTACAAACTGGATCTTGTCCTCTTGAACTCAGGATAATCGGGGTTGAAATAGATCTCCGGCAACCGATGCTTGCCGAAAGAGGCGTCAACGGGGTTGTCAACGCTTGTTGACTTTGTTCACACATGTCATCGTATCCCAGCTGCCTAAATTGATACTCGTGATGCCAATCACTGGATTGTCTGGTCCAGATTATTTTGGCAGTTACCAGAAAAATTGCTGAGTACGGCGTTAAACAAACAAGCACGCAAATGTATTGTGCCCTTGAATTGGAAGCCGACGTAAAATGCCAACTTGAAGTATTGAATAGCTCAGTGAGAAGACAGGTCCAGTCTTCCTTTTTTAACGTGAATAGAACCCCGAGAAAGTTGACGTTGGGTGAGTCAGCGAGTGAGTGAGTGAGTGACTGCCTAGTGGTATGGGTTTTACAGGGAGTGAATACGTGAGTGAGTGAGTGACTGCCCAGTGGTATGGTGAGTGCCTGCGTAGTGGTATGGGCTTTACAGGGGAGTGAACACGTGAGTGCGTGAGTGAGGGTGTGAATACGTCAATGAGTGGCTGTGTGTTTTGGGTTTTACAGGGAGTGAATAAGTAATTGAGTCAGTGACTGCGTTGTGGTATGGGTTTTACAGGGAGTGAATACGTGAGTGAGTTGCTGCGTAGTGGTATGGGTTTTACAGGAGTGAGTTGCTGCGTAGTGGTATGGGTTTTACAGGGAGTGAATACGTGAGTCAGTGACTGCGTAGTGGTATGGGTTTTACAGGGAGTGAATAAGTAAGCGTCTATATCACAGCAGTTTATACATAATCAAGTTGGAGCACACACCCACTCAACCTCTCACGCATTCTCAAAATACTATTTTCTCGGGGTTCTGTTCACGTTGACAGACAATCAAGCCTTTTTTAAAACGAGTACATCATTTTAGTACAACTGATCCAAGTCGCCATTTCAGAATCATTTTACGAATGCTTCCAACATCCAAACTTTACAAAGACGTCATGTCATCGAACTTGTTGGAAAATGTCGTAGAGACTATTTATCCCCAGCGACCAGCATGTACACTCGGGCCTGCACTCCTCCAAATCCCTCTTCGTTAATTTGAGCGCAAAGGAAAATGATAATTTTGAAAATAGTGACCCGTGGGTACCCCGAAGTACAAGGTTACGATTTAGTATCAAGTTTGTATAAAAATACATTACACTTCTATGTCTTTACACGTGACATGCATGTTTCAAACTTTGAATTTTGTATGACAGTGAATTCTTCTCAAACAAAAATATTGAAATCAACAAAGAAAAATCTCTTTTCGTCTCGGTCATTTCGAGTTTCACGTTTTGCACGTGCTCTCAAAGACAGTTCGCAAATTGGTAGAAAATTGAAATCTCTTCAGTTTCCAAAACCCAAATCAGAAACAAACAGTAGCGAAATATAGAAAAGCTAAAATCAAAGAATTAGTTTAGATAGCCATGCATATATTACTTACATTATATTTCTTTCCTTCATTTCGTTATGTGATCAGCAGTCAATAAACAATGGAGTCTGGGCCAGACAATGCATTATGTAATGACTGACATTGTTAACATGGATCTTCGCATTTGGGATTCTATGACATGCATAAGTACGTGAGCCTATTTCGACGGTACCATTTCGACAAGCATGGTTTGCTGAATATCAACTCGAGCCTGTATTCGTCACGGCCGGATACTCAAGGTAAGTGCGCCAGTTTTCTCTTTGCACTGGAAAGATTTCCGCCCCTAACCCCGTTTTTTTTAACCATTTTATGCTGAAAGAATATATTATTTTTATATAAAAAGGGGCGTTTATTTATTATAGTTTTAAGCGTTTGAAGGGGTTTAGAAGTGTGGGGGAATAAACAAATATTTCTAAAAGATTCAGATGTCAGGACCTAACCCTAATCCTAACATTTCAAGCTGGTTAAGGGCGGAGCTCTTAACTTATGTTGATTGGAGAGGAGATTATATTCATTGTAATTTTATATTCTTCAACATTCTTTTTTATTACAACTTGCCTGTTTGCTGACCTGTGCAGTTTAACAATAGGTGTCAGCTTGGCCAATCAACCTTTAGAGTGTCTTAGTGTGGGGCAATTAGTGACTGATACAGAAGAATTGAAAGACTGTAATATAAGTGAGGGGTAAATATAACTTAAACTAACTAGTCATTACAAATATATGGAAAATACTTTTTTTTAAATATTCACAAAAAATATATCTGCCACTTTATTACAAATGGAGAATATTAATTAGGTACAGCTGCTAGGCAACCAAGCATTCTCTGGTATATGATTGTGTCCAAATGTCTACATCGTCAAGGAAAATGTGTTGGTTAATGGAAAGGAAAAATCTTCCCAAAATTGCAGAAAATCTGCAGCATCTCCTATGATGGATGCACAAATATATATAATCTGAATCATATGGTCTTGTTTGCTCGGCCCTGTTATCACTGTACTTTGTTACCTCCCTTAGCTGCCCTGATCCGAGGGTTGTGAGTTTGAACCATACACTGCAGACTTTGGTGAATCATTCACTTGCTTCTCAGTATGTTTGAAAGATCAAAGTGAAAATGTCATGCATCAATGTCATTCATAGCAAATTTATATTTTTATAGAATTGCTTTTTGTATAGATTAATAATGATAGTTATATTTAGAGCAGTTGATTCCAAAATTGATTTTACAATACATCCAGCATGTACCTCATGATTCAGGATTCCATTTAGACACAGTGACAGAAGTTCTCTTAAATCAGTGGCATAGAATGTAGTACATTCCTAATAATATGTAGTGGCTATTTCATCTATGTCAGACAAGGCTTGTTGTCAAACAAGCAAGTCACTTAAATTGCAAGCATGTTAATCCATATTCATTATTTCTGGTTCTCTCGTACTTGTCAAGAGCCATCAAAATCAGGATTGGGCTGTCACAACATGTAACCTGGCTGTTTCCAGGTCATTGTGCCCTGATTGATTTGATTAATTTCTGGACAGCTGAGATAGGGCAATAATTCAGCTTATTGTGATGTATGTAAAATAACACTCACTCACTTACTGTCAACTGTAGGAGTGTGGTTTGAATATATTCCAGTTTTATGATGGCAGTCTTTAAATGATTCTAGACCAGACAATCCACTGATTAACATCATGATCAATCCACTCATGTAGGGTGCGATGAAGTCACTGAATTTGACCCAGTCCATTTAGTTGCCCCTTTCTTCAAGCATAGTGGGGGCGGTGGGGTAGCCTAGTGGTTAAAGCGTTGGCTCGTCATGCCGAAGACCCGGGTTCGATTCCCCACATGGGCACAATGTGTGAAGCCCATTTCTGGTGTCCCCCGCCGTGATATTGCTGGAATATTGCTAAAAGCGGCGTAAAACCAAACTCAGTCAGTCAGTCAAGCATAGTGAGGTCTGGACAAGTGAAGATCTGGGTTAGAATATGTCTTAGCAGTCCATGCCTGTCGTAAGAGGCAACTGGCGGGATAGTGTGGTCAGGCTTGCTGGCTTGCTTGATACATGTCATTGTATTCCAATTGCATGCTGTTGATCACTGGATTGTCTGGTCCACAGTTTACTATTTTCAGACCTCCGCCATATAGCTGGAAAATTGCTGATTGTGCAGTTCAACAAACAAACACACAGTTAGCTCTGGACCTAATTTCTTACCCATAATCCCCATGGACAGAGTCCCAATAGGACCCAGCACCCTCTGCTTGTAGTACCAAATTAGCCTTATAAGTTTTTGTGTATTTTTATTATCATATAGCAATAATGTATATAAGTCATAACTATGAATTATACAACTCAACATTTACCAAAGATTATTAGTCATGTTCAGTCAAAGGTGTTGTACACTGAAAATACATCTTATTTGATGAACTTAAGTGCAGTACACTTCGTCTATAATGAACACACTTACAGATGTATGTATCAAACTATGATTGGACATGCTACTTGCTTTGTATTTTAGTCAAAGTGTTTGATTAACTACTTTTATCAAAGTTACATTAGTAATCTCTTTGAGGTGAGGTGAAAGTGGGTTTAACGTCGCGCTGGAGAATATTTCGCTCATATGACAACGTGCATGCGTGTGTATGTGTATGTGCGGCTGCTTGTACTAGCCCAGACTTAAGCTGGTTTTATAGTGCTAGCCCACTGAGATACCATACCGCAGTGAAGCATGAATACCCCACTCAGACACATTATACTGACTCCTAGCCGACCAGTCCATTAATGCCCATTAATGCGCAGCGCAGGCAGGGACCAACAAGTACCATATTTTAACGTCTCTTGCTATGACACGATCGGGGATCGAACCCACGACCTTCCGGTCTCTCCGGGCGGACGCTCTAACCACTACACCACGGAGGCGGTCGTAATCTCTTTGAACTTAAAAATAATGATACTGAAGAAAATA